CGCTTTTTACCTGATTGTCATCGTGGACCATGGTCTTTATGTCTCGACTGGCGTCAAATATGTAATGGTAAAGTTGATTGTATGAATGGTGAAGACGAACAATGGTGTGAAATATTAGAGATGACTACATGTACTGATGATGAATATCGATGTTATTATGGTGGTCAATGTATTCCATTGGTATTTGCACGAGACAGCACCTTAAGTTTTGACTGTCTCGACAGTAGTGAAGAGGTAGAGAAAGATATCATGTCTATGTCGCTGAGAAATTCTCTTTGTCGTTTATTTATCACATTTCGATGTGAAGAGAGTATTAATCGATATCCTCGTGCTTTTCCATGTGGCAATGGTCAATTTTTGGAAGCGACCGAATTGCCAGATAATGCGCATCAGTGTTCCAACGAACGACATAAGCAAGTGACTTTAGCCATGCTTACTTCGTTCGACCACATTAAAGATATTAAATGTCAACAAGCATTTCGTTGTTTACTTCTTTCCAATCGAAGTTATGGTAAGTAGGAATAATTGTATATTTATTTAACTACTGAGAAAACTCAAATGTTTTATCTGTTTTTCAAAGAGTGGTATGCAATAGCTAAAGCCTTAAAATGTAAATTATTAACTCTTCAACTTCTTCTGCAACAATGAGTTTGTCTGGTTTTTGAAAACTTAGTACGAGCTTGAGAGTTTCGAATGATATTCGTCAGTTATCGCATGGGTTAACAGTTGTCGCGACTGTGATAGCCTTCAGTGGTGAACAACATTGAAAAACACTTCTACTAGAAGGAGTTACAAGACAAGAAGAGTTTTTTAGGAGCCTACACTAATATTTGCTGTAAAGCACATGGTTTTGAGTTCTGTATAAATCGAACAATTTGTCTCAACACTTGATAGTTATGTAACGTCGGTCGAAAGGGACAATATTTTTGCGCATTTTTTACTGTAGGAAAAAGTTTATATTATGTACACCCAATTTCGATTGCCTTGAAATGCTATTGCATTGAATTGCACTCTTCATCGACTTTTTGGAGAAAACCAATTCCTGCTCAGGCCTCTTTCCATTTCAACTGCTTTTCCGTTTGGAAAAATACACAGTATTGTTGCTTCTCCCAAGGGCTATTGTATAAGACATCCTAGAAAATGGCCAGTCTAAGATTTGCATTGATAAATTATTTGTTAGGCGAAGTATGCCCAGAGAAGTATGACTAGAAAGCTATATAAAGTCAGTTTGTGTTACTTTAGCAAGCGAAAGAGCGTCGCTGAATAATGAAATCATACATAAAATTCGAGGTTGCATAAAATCGGATCGAACTACTATGATATTGTAGTTTAATTCTGACGAGTTCGTAAACATATTTAACACGCAATAATCGTGAGAATGAGTGTTAGAAGTGATAACTACTTTGTGAATGATTGTTATTCCTACTCGGCTCAGCAGTGATCCAATGAACTCAAAATTAAAAAAAATGTTAATGTAAATATGCACTTTCATTTATATATGACTCAACTTGATTGAGCATAACAAATTTATTGAGCCTATTTGACACTTCTAAGCCCTTCTGTTCGTTTTGTCTTTAGTAGGACTTTTTCCATAAAAATGACTTCTCTAAAGGTCATCGTAAGAGAAAGTGACATTTCCATGTATATTTGTGCTAGCTAAAACATATAAGATAACACTAAATGGTTAGCGTCAGTTAGAGATAGAAATGGTGCCAGACATCAGTTGGTCTTCTGTGAGATCAGTTATTACCTGTAGGTCGGTTGTTCACTAATCTATCGCATTGACTTTTCTGCTTTTCTTACATAAACTTATTCAAAGGTGTCAGTGTGGGATGATGTGTGGGTAGGAGTGTGGTGGCCGTGGTTGTGATGTGGGTGTGTGTGTCTTCTGATGTCTTGATTGACACCTACACCCTCAAGAGGATAAATGATTTCTCAATCGACACCTGCTTCCTAATGGAACTTGGTTACAATTTTGAATCAGTTGCGTTTACGACAGACTTAGTTCACAACATAGGTATATCTCAAATTTTTCTTCTTTGTCTCGATTGAAAATTGCAGTATATATGAGCTTAATTGTTTTATAATAGATAAGAAAAAAACCCAACCAACTAATATCAGCCTTTCAATCTAATATTAAATTGAGAATAATCTCTTAAGTCAAATGGCATAAGTTTGATCCAGTGTTCACCTACATTTTTAATTAGACATTAAACGTTGAAATCTATTTTAACTATGGATTTGAAAGAGTCGTTACATGAATTGAGTTTATAATTTAACAAAAGTACAAAAGAATAAAGAAAAAAATTTCGTTATCTTGTGACGCTGGTTTTTTATCGATCGAGAACAATTTTCAACCAATAAATCATATTTGAAAATTGGTTGCAATACACCCAAGCGACATCTTTCAACTAATTCTAAATCGTCATTGTACATAGTTAGTACACTAATAAGTTCAATAATAGCGTGAAAGACGAGAGAGACGATCGAAGTGGCCGTTTGTGGGAAAAAAATTGCAACACAAAATGTTCAAAGAGTGTAAGCTGACATCACCGTATGAGAGATAGAATCTATGGACATGAAAAAGGATTAAAACTAAAATATTGAAAACTGTATGTTGTAGAAGATAATGTCAAAAAGAACTATGCAAGATGCTAACGCATGTTACTTTTATTTGGAATTGAAGTATCGATATAAAAACGACTATCTAGAATAAATAAGTTTTAGGGTAAAAATACGACTCACTGACATAGATTTCAAAATTTAAGAACAACAACATCAATGCATAACAATTGTTGTTGAACTATTTACATTCATCAGAAAAATTAAAAGATAAAATAATATTCTCATAATATATTTTACTTATTACTCTTTTTCTTTGCATAAAATAATCCGTATTTATGATTCATTGTTTAAACACAAAAACTGAAATAAATAATATCCCATATTATCACATTGTTATATGAGCAATTTCATGCACAATGAGACATACCAACATTTCATTTAACTTTGATTCTTTATAAGAGTTTTTTTCTGCATAAGTTCTTTTACCATAAGCATATGTAAAAATGTTGGCTCTTTCAGTTGACTATTAATTAAATATTAATTTTGCGAATATCTTTCTAATCACATGAGAAAAAAATCCGAAAACTTCAGCGTAGACTTTACGACACAAATTGCATCTATGCTGAAATTTTCAGCAAGATTGGACTCTAAAAAACTTCCTTATAAAAACTGGTTTTCGAAAGACTCAATCAAGTCCTGAAACAAAAATTTCTATTTTACTGTCATCTAGAGACTCTGAAACGGGATTTGTACCGTTTGGAATCGGTTTTGAACTTCTCATTCAGTTATAAGAGCATTTTTTCGTTTGTAGTTAGATTCGTACGCCGTCATGTCGCTAACGAAAAGTAAATTGAATAATTTAAAAAATCTAGGGATACTCAGAAAAACTTTGTATAGAGATTTTGTAGTTTTAGGAGCTATATGCAGTATGTACTATTTATTTTTGATAAATGCAACATCAATTCAGGGTTTTTTTTAAATACATGGAGTAAAAATCGATGTCCTGTTTTGTGCCACGTCGCTAACACTCGTTTCTTATTAAGAGCTCCTCTGGGGAGAGCCCTCTAGTGCTGGCTTTTTCGGATTATGTAGAGTAACATAACATAGATGTAATAGGTGAAAATTAGCTCTAGAAAAGTTCATTATCTCGAGATACACGTGTTTTAATTTTGTAAATTCACGTCGCTAACAAATGATTTTGTCTATATATAAATCGTGGCTACTATTATTTTTTCTTCAGTATTTTATGTTTCGATATTTTCCAATTTACTCTTATTATAAATAACTCTTCTGTGTAATTTTCCATTACTGTAGATTACAAGGTCGAGTATGGCATTCATGTGTCAGATGAATATTTTGAAGTTACTTGGAATACAAACTGTGAACCTCTAGCAAAGTATTGTGTCGATGAATGGCTACTTTTACCTGAATATCCTGTTTTGTATGGATATTTTCAATTTGTCTATTTGACTAATCGATCGATTAACGAATTTAAAATCAATTGCGCACCGAACTTTGTATGTTTTGATGCACAGAAATGTCCTATATTATTATCGAGAATAGTTCCAATTGAAATAATTGATGGTCTAACATGTTGCCGCATTTTTGATCTTATTCAAGTACAGACGATACAACATTTTCATCAATTGAACATAAATTTTTCGTTCATCTATTCTCAATGTTCGACTACCAGTAATGAAAAGTCATGTGAAAATTCATCCTATTTTCATTGTAATCAATCTTTAAAATGCATTTCATATAATCGTGTTGGTGATGGATTCAAAGATTGTTTTTATAATGAAGATGAATCATTTCCTACATGTCATCTGAACGACTCAAATCGTTTTATGTGTAAGTCAGATCCAAACAAGTGCTTGTTGCCTGTAGCGATTGGAAATGGCCATACAAATTGTCCAAAAGGAGAGGATGAGACAACTGAAAATATATATGGCATTCAGCAACCAACACTATTTTCCAATATATGTCGTTCTCCTCGATCCGTTTCACCAGCAAATGGCATTGAAACTTATAATACAAACTGTGGATGGTGGCCATGTAACAATCCATACACATATTGTGATATTGATTGGGATTGTCTTAATGGTATCGATGAACTTAATTGTCCCAGTATATATTGTTCATTAAACGAATTTCAATGTAGAAACAAGGATTTGAATTTAACTTATTGTTTGCCATTTGTTCACATGTTCCATAAGCGGAAAGATGACTGTTCGAAAAATAACTTTGTTTTTAAATTCTACTTCGACAATGGAACACATGACATTAGCAAACATTACTACTCATTTAACAAATCCAAATGCATTAGTGAAGACAATATTTGTAATCCTCATTCAGAAACAATAAATGTACAAGAAGACATATGCATTAACAAGCAATTACTCATGTTGATACTCGCGGTGTTTCCTAAAATTCACATGGTTGATAATGATAATACATACCTATGCACTATTGAATCTAAAACACTGTCACGTTATGGTGTTCAGGCTCGTTTCTTGACTTCTTTGCGACTTGGCTATTTCCCATCAACAACATCTACGACTTCTGTTGAAAACAAAAAGAATATACCTAAGATGGATATTGCACTTGCTTGGTATTGTCATTATGGTGTTCTCACTCTATTCAAGGGTGTTAATCAAACAAAAGCATGTCTCTGTCCACCAAATTACTTTGGTTCTCAATGTCAATGGCAAAGTCAACGTGTTAGTTTGACTTTACAGTTTAGAATGAGTAGTATTATTTATTCTACAGTTATTTATCAATTAATCATCATGCTTATTGATGAACAAGGAACTATTGCATTCACTCATGAACAAATAATATATATGCCTGCTCACAATTGTAATACAAAATTTAACATCTATCTACTTTATCCACATCGTCCCAAACATTCATCAACAAATTATTCGATTCGTATTGATCTTTTTGACAAGTCAATATTAGATTATTGAACGAGTTGGTATTTGCCAATTCCATTTCAGTTTCTTCCTGTAAATCGAATATCAACTCAGTTAATCATTCCTGAAGTACGAGAAAATGAACTATGCAATTTGCCATGTGGAGAGCATGGCCGATGTGTGAGATATACAAATATGAACAAGTTATTTTTTTGTCGATGTGATCAAGGATATTCTGGTACTTTCTGTAATATTATACATCAATGTCAATGTTCAAACGATTCATTATGTCTTGCTTCATCTATCTGTGTGTGTCCCTTGAACAAGTTCGGCTCACGTTGTTATTTGAAAAGGTCGATATGTCAATCAACGAACAATCCATGTCAGGACAATGGACTTTGTATACCAATGGATAATCGTATTAATTTAAATGCATTTGTTTGTGTTTGTAAAGAAGACTATCATGGTGAACGATGTCAATATACAAGAAATAAAATCGACATTCGTATAGATGAGACAATACTAACAAGAAGTTCATCATTCTTTATACATTACATAATAGCATTTGACCGAGTAGCAAAACATGAACAAATAACTACACTGAAAAAGATTGCTTTCAGTCACGATACTATCACAATTTATATAAAACAACAATTTAATATTATTTTCATACAAACACCTGAATGGTGATTATTATCTAACTGTATTAAGAGAAAGATATATATCATCAGAATATATTCATACTCAAATGTTACCAACGAACCGTTGTTTGTCGGTTCAAGATCTTCTTAATGAGACTTTTCGTCAATATGAATATCTACGTCGGATTAAATATTATCCACTTTTATGTCGTCAATATTCACAATTGATGTGTTTTTACGAGGAAAACTACACGTGTATATGTGATACTGATCGTTTTTCAAATTGTTTCGAATTTAATCGTACGATCAGATATGATTGTAGTGGAAAAAATCTTTGTTATAATGACGGTCGATGTTTTCTTAACAATAAAACCTGTCCAAGTACATTTACATGTGTATGTAATGACTGTTACTATGGAACACAATGTCAATTTTCAACAAAAGGTTTCATTTTTTCACTCGATCCAATTCTTGGATATCATATCAAACCAAGTATTTCATTCCATCAACAACCATTTATTGTCAAATTAAGTACTACTATCATTACAATTATGTTGATTTCACAATTAATCATGGGTTCACTATCTATAGCAACATTTCAATTGAAAAAAATAAGAGAAGTTGGTTGTGGTTATTATCTTCTAGCATCGTCGATTAGTTCAATGTGTATGATTATTGTATTAACAATTAAATTTTGGCTACTCATTCTTTCACAAATGTCATTCATAAATAATAGATCAATACTCTTTGTTAATTGTGTTTCAATTGAAATAATTCTTAAATCTTGTTTAGCATCAAGTGAATGGCTTAATGCTTGTGTAGCTATTGAAAGAATGTTTAGTGTCATAAAAGGTATGACATTTGACAAGAACAAGAGTAAGACAATAGCTAAACGAATGATTTTTGTTGTAATCATTTTCACGATACTTACACATATTCATGATCCACTTAATCGACAATTGATTGATGATTTAGATGGAGATCAAAAACGAATATGGTGTTTCGCTAAATATTCATCTGAAGTAACTCAATATAATACAACTATCACTCTCTTTCATTTTCTTGTTCCTTTTTCAACCAATTTTATATCTGCTTTGGTACTTATTATAGTAACATCTTATAGTCGTTTTAAAGCAGAATCGAAACAATCACTCAAGCAACATTTACGAATAAAATTGAAACAACACAAACACATTATTATTGCACCTTGTATTTGTTATTATTAGGTTTGCCACGTCTTATTATTTCATTCACCAGTGGATGTATGAGATCACCACGTCAACCTTGGTT